TGAACATCTTCTCATTTGCTTATTTACTATCTAAATGTTTTCTTTGGTGAGGTTTGGCTCTTTTGCCCATTTTTAAAATCGAGCTTGCTTTTATTACTGAGTTTTAAGAATTTTTTTGTATATTTTGGATACCAGTATTTTGTCAGATATATGCCTTGCAGTGATTTTTCTCCAGTGTGTAACTTGTCTGTTTGTTCTTTTAACATTGTCTATCCCAGAGATATTTTTAATGAAATCCATTTTTTCTTTCTTGGAATATACTTTTGGTGTTATCACCCAGATTTTTTCTTCTGTTTATCTTCTAGAAGAATTATAGTTCTGTGTTTTACATTTAGGTCTATAGTCCATTGTGAGTTAGTCTGTGTCTGGATTTTGCACGTAAATGGTCAGTTCCACCAGCACCCTAGCTGTCTGGTCTTTCTTCTTGAATTGCCTTTGCTCCCTTCTCAAAGATCAGTTGCAATTTGTATGAATCTATTTCTGGGCTCTTCATTCTGTACAGCTGATCTCTTTGTTCTTTTGATAATACCGTACAGTCTTGATTACTGTGGCTTTATAGGAAGTTGAGTGTCAGTTCTATGACTTCGTTGTTTTTCTTTAATACTGTGTTGACCATTCTGGGTCTTTTGCCTTTCCATATAAACTTTAGAAGCAGTTTGCCAGTAATCCACAAGATTACTTGTTGTGATTTTGGTGTAGTGACTGTTGAATTTATAGATCAAGTTGGGAAGAACCAATATCTTAACAATAGTGAGTTTTCTTATCCATGAATGTAGACTATATCTCCATTTACATAGGAGATATTACAGGTTCAGTTCCAAACCACTTCCAAACCACTGTAATAAAGCAGATATCATAATAAAGCAAGTCACATGAATTTGCTGCATCTCACAAATCTTGATGTTATATTTTCAACATATTTTAAAATTTCTTTTGAGACTTCTTCTTTGATTTGGGTGTTATTTATCAATAGCAGTGTGTTGTTTAATGGAGCTTCCCAGGTAGCACTAGTGGTAAAGAACCTGTTTGCCAATGCAGGAGATGTAAGAGATGTGAGTTTAATCCCTGGGTTGGGAAGATCCCCTGGAGGAGGGCATGGCAACCCACTCTAGTGTTCTTGCTTTGGAGAATCCCATGGACAGAGGAGCCTGACAGGCTACAGTCCATAGGATTGCAAAGAGTTGGACACAACTGAAGCGACTTAACATGCACGCATGTATGTTATTTAATCTCCAAATATTTGGGGATTTTTCTAGCTATCTTTCTTTGGGATTTTAACTTAATTTTCCACTGTGGTCTGAAAGCATACTCCTTTTAAATTTGCTAAGGTATGTTTTATGGCCTGAAATGTGGTCTGTCTTATGCATGTTTCATGTGAGCTTAAGAAGAATGTGTAAAGTCCAAAACAAGTTTCACCAGGTCCAAATTAAGATTTCTGCAAGGGCTGAACTTACTGTGGACACTTCAAGGGAGAATCTCTTTCCTGGCCTTTTCCAGATTCTGGAGGCTACCTGTACTCTTTGGCTGGTAGGGTAGCTCCCTCCTCCTACCCTACAACTATCTTTAAAAGTCATCACTCAACTTCTGTTTCTGTGATCACATTTCCTCTCTTTTTCTGCATTTTGTTCTTAAGAACGTATGTGATTACATTTTATTTATGTGGATAATACAGGATAATCTCTCTTCTTCTCAAAATCCTTAATACAAAATTTTCTCAAATCTTCTCAAAATCCTTAATACAAATACACCTGCAAGGTTTCTTGTACCATGTGAGGTAACATAGCCATAGGTTCCAGGAATTAGGATGTGGACATCTTAGCTGTGGGGTTGGAGGATGTTCTTTAGTTCACCGTGGTAGTAGTCAGGATTTGAACTTGATACACCTGCTCTTGGAGCCACTTCTGTGCTCTTTCTGGCTTCCCTGCCACTTCCACATCTAAATAGCTCCTTTATGGTGTGTTTTACTTGTCTGCGTTTACCATTAGGATGTGTCTCTCCTGAAACAGGACACATCCTTTTAAGCCAAATGAATTCAGATCAAGGAAATTATGTGGAAATCTTGAGGTATCAACAACAGAGAAAAGAATTGGTTTTGATTCCTCAGTCTTTTAAGGCTGTGTGTATGTCTGACTTCTACAGTTTATTCATTTACCTCCTAATATTAATATAAATTATAAATTAAGTATTAAGATAAGTATATGCATATTTACCTAAATTCAAGTAGTTTCCTGTGGCTAATGGCTGTGTGATTGCTATGATTCCACTAAACTACTATTATGGAACTGTAATATATATCCTAAAGATGTTTGTCTGAAATGAAAATTCTAACAGCTCATTTTGCCTTAAGTTTTGGTTTCTCTTTTTGTGGGAACAGAGGTAAGGACTAGAATGACATACATTTCAGAGGAGTTTTATATCATAGTTTGTTATGCCAAATAGTCTTGCTTCAGTCACTGGACAACATAATTAATGGTAGAAAAATTTTGGTAGTTTCATGTCCTTTTATTCCTAGAAGCACTTTATGAGCCTTCAGCTATTAACATAACTATAGTCAGATACTGTGAAACCACATTTAGATAGTGTTTTCATTATGCTGGCAAATTTAACTATATTTCTATGCAGTGTATGTGAGTCCCACCCAAACTTTAACCTGTTTCCATTTTGATGAGGTCCAATCAAGAGAAAAAGCAACAACAAAAAAAATCTTCCTGTGTGGCCTGTAGATATCAAGTCTGAAGATTATTAATACATTTCCAGCTTGAGACCATAAGCAAACAAACTCTTCCACAGATAACTACACCCTTCCTGTTTGGGATTGAGTTTACTGTGGAACAGATTTCGGAAATATGTTTTTGACTGTTGTGAATTTTATTTATAAAACTTTGGAGGGTGAGGTCCTTCCTTTAACAAAAAACTAATGATTTCCTGTCTAATGCCCAACCAGTGCATTTTAAGCATTCTTTGTAGAAAATTTATCCTGTGGTACAAAATTACATTGCTTTGGGAGGTTCTGATTGTTCTTGTCAGCTAATGTACAAAAATTTGTCTTTTCAGTGAATAATTCAAAAAGGACTTACAATTAAAAAATAAAACAGAGCCTGTAAATGCTTTTATTATCTTGTCTCCAAAGACTAGTTTGCAGTTTAAATAAATGCATGAACACATTTTAAATACGGTTTTACTTTTGATATGCAAATCTGTACTACATTTATGTTCTGTAAATATGCTAAACGAAAAGTTACAGTTTAGGTAAAACAGATTTACATTAAAGAATTTGCAGGTTAATTCACAGTGTAACCTTATCCTCATCTAGTACATCTGCTATAAAGAAGTCTATAAAATTTAGGCCACCCACAAAGTGGTCTGCTGAGGCCAATGGTTGGTGTTAGAATGCTGTTATTATGTGGGTTGACTGGTTTGGTAAGGAATTTACCTCCACTAAGACTGTAAAAAACATCATGGTTCTGACTTCCCCCATGGGGACTGCCTTGGCTTGACTTATGTTAGATACTCTCTGTTTGTTAGACCAGTTACTGTGCTCTATTGCATTGACATCCTGTGTAATATCATGTGGATGCTATACTGTTTCCTAAGTTGGTTTATTAGTCAGTAATATTAATTCTGGGTCATGTAAACCTTGAGATAAACTGGAATAAATATTTGGTTTAAATAGTCGAATTAAATTTAATGGCTATTAGGGGTAAATTTCGTTCACTATTTAGAAAAACCGTGTGTGTGTTTTAGTGTTGAGATGAAGAAGGCAAACAGGATTTTATATTTTAATTTCTGGGTCATTTGAAGAACTTATTCTTTGGGGCTTATGAATTGTTTTCAAGAGCACGGAAGTGAATTGACTATAATTTGGCAACCTAGTACTGAGAGTCAAAAACAAATACTCTTCTTTAAATAGCTATTTTAAGGGATAAAAAAATATAGCAGACATTTAAAAACACAGCAGCGCTCACCATGACTAGCAGTGATCATTTGAGGAATGAGAACTATCATGAATGAAGCAATGTTTCAAATCACTTCTAAGGTTTTAAAAAGTGAATAAAATCCTTTTTCAGAGAATGAACATGTTGATTGTTTTTGTTAAAGTTGGAAAAATTAAAATTAAAACAGTACTTTTAAATCAGATAATTGGTATTTAATTTTCATGGTGACTTAACTAATTTTCTTTAAATACATGAATTACAGAGTATGAAAAATAGCATAGAAATCTAAAATGCATTTTGTGACTGCAAACTAAGGAAATGACCTTTAGTGTGGAGAAAATTTAGCAGTTTTTAGACAGGAAATAATATTTGATTGCCATTGGTAAAAATTATATATACATATTGAAATATTAAAATATATACATTAAAGTGGAAAAATATATACATGTATACATGCATATACTATATATACATGTGTGTGTACACGTGTATGCATGAACATGTGTGTGTATAACATACTGTTTTGATCTGAACTCTGCCTTGGTGATTTTAATTATGGTCAAACATTTATAACTTGAAAAGCTTTTTTCAAATAAATACTTTCAGCCTTCTTATAGTTGTTTGTTGTATCCTAAACAGAATTTTGAATCTATCATCTGGTCATGATTCAAACAGATAATCGGAAGTTAGGGAGGGGCTTGTAATCTTATTTCTTCCAAACAAGTAAATGAATAAAGCTATCAGCATGTCTTACCTAGCTGGCATTTGTTCTTAGTTCTTCTCATTTCTAGTCTTATGTCCTATTAGTAGACTGCATCACGCTTGACAAATGCTGTGCCTAGCTTCTGTAGTCAGTGATGTGGCATATCAGTGCTTTTCTGCTCATTCAACTTGCCAGCAAACCTCAGAGATCGCGGTTTAAATGGCCTTTGGCAGTAGTGTTTACTCAGAGCAAGAGAGGTTTTGTGTCTCCCTTTTAGATTTCAGTATCATAATTCTGTCGACTGAATCAGCTCAATGTTTGGCTAATTACTCTTAGTAACCACAGTATATTTATCTTTCTAGGTTTACCGACAAGACTGTGAAACTTTTGGGATGGTTGTGAAAATGCTGATTGAAAAAGATCCTTCATTAGAAAAGTCTATACAGTTTGCCTTGAGACAGAATTTACATGAAATAGGTGAGCGGTGTGTTGAAGAACTCAAGCATTTCATTGCAGAATATGACACTTCAAGTCAAGATTTTGGAGAGCCGTTTTAGATTGCTTTCTCAGGCAAAAAAAAAAATTTCTAGACTTTTTTCCCCCTGGATTGTGTAAATCCTTAATATATAGAATTTTTGTGAAGAGAAATACTTTATGATAGTTGACCATATTTCCAATATCAAATAAACATCTAAAATAGTCTGTTTAAGATATTTTAATTAGAATCTTTTTTATCTACATGTAGAGCCTTCTAATACATACTTATCTTTTTTCCCCTTCTCCTAAAACGATGGGTCAATTAATTGTTCAAGCTTTCTTGAAAATGCAGTCCAAGATTTCTGTACTTACAGGACATGTCCTGTAGTCTTCCATTGTTATGTGATCATTTGTTTGGTCACACTAGTGTAATTTATAGGTTAGAATACATTCCACTTAAACATTTGTAATCTTTTTGCATTTCATAGTCAGTGATACCATGTGAAAATGTTAGAATTCTGAGTTGTGTTTTATTGACTTGTTGCTTGCTTACCTTAGGCTTTGTAACTTTCAATATGTTTAAGTATATTCAAATAAACTGAATACTTTGGTATCTTGGGGAATATTTGCTTTGAGGATAATTCTCATTGTGATGAAATAGAGCATTTAAATCTCTGAAAGACACCTCATAATAAAATCCTGTTTTCCAAGTAAATGAACTCAATGTCTTCTGTTAAAATAATCCTGAAACGTCTGACTGGTCTCACTGCTGTGTGAGTCTTAAATATTATCCACATAGAAGACTAACAGAAGGGGAAGTTGGAGATGAAAGATGAGGCCTATTTTAAAATTGTGATTTCTTTAAAAATTTCTAACCAAAAGAAAAAAATATAGAATGTGGGGAAGTAGTGGAGTTCATTTTATCTATAGGCCCATATTCCCCATCTCAAGAAAGAACGTGATTGATAACATCTCCATAATTAAACACATTATGCCTTTGTTAATCTATGTTTGTAATCCAACAAACTCTTGTTCTGCTGTCCTTTTTAGGGGCTCATAGCCTTCTCAAAATGTTTTTGAATGAAACAAAGAGTAGGCAGTAAGCCTAGCACATCTACCCTTCACCAAGCTGCCTGTGTAAACAGTCCTTCATGAGCGAGCCATCCAAATCACGGGTTAGTTAAGAATCTAACTGGGACAATTAGGGTATTCCGCTCATTTCCTGATCACTTCCAGCTGCCCGGTGGCATTTAGCCAAAATATGTAATTTTGTGGCATGTGTTTGGAAACTTTTAAAAATATTTGTTATTACTACCCAATTTCGTTATCCTTCCATTCTTTTTCCATTCCACTCTCTTCTCAGTTGAATTTTGGCATTATTTTTAGTGGCCTCTATTATCTAAAGAGCTATACCAGAGTAGATAAAAATTCTATTAAAAGTAGAAATAGCAGTATAAATAATTCTAGTGGATCCTGTAATGTGTGCCTCAAAATATGCATTATGCAATTTCACAGATTAAAAAACTAATTGAAGGCAACAATTTATTAAGTTTCCTATATGAGGTCACCTTGAATTTAGATATTGTACATAAGCCAAAACTAAACCCTGTGTATTATCTTTGGTATTCTTCCCTAATGTGAAAAGTGGTTTTATCTGTTACCCACATTAGAAAGACTAAGAAAGTACTGATTTGTTTCTAATGCCCATTTTTTCTTCTTAAATATTCTAATTCCAGGATTCATTTCAAGTCAAGATGTCACAAATTTAAAAATAAAACTCGAGACTCAACTACCTTGAGACAGAGGAGTTGTTCACTTTGTTGAAGTTCATTAAACTAGAGGAATTTTACTCACAGATGCATTTAAATATAGGTTCAGTGGATAGTTTCTTTTCTCCTTCCCCAAATAACATTCAACATTTCAAGCTGTTTATAACTTGCCATCAGCATTATCCTGGTGGGCTTGTCAGTGTTAAATCTGTTTGTTTTATTTTTAAAGCTTTTTAAAGTTTTATTTTAGGATAGATGAATTCAGATACCTGCCAGGGTTTGTATGTTGCAAAATGTTCTTGATTGAAGAAATTTGTTTGCAAATTATCCATTGGTTTTGAGTATGCCCAATTGATGTGATAAAGTTTTGTCTTAACCATAAAGCCTTGATGATCAACAGAGAGAAAGCGGATATTGTGAAGCTTTTGTGAACTTTAAATGTGCAAAATAAAGCAACCAGTTTTAAATAATTAGATTGTCTCTTTTTTAAAAAAGAAAAAAAACTGGCTTAAAATGTTTTGCTTAAATGTAGATTTTTATTGCTGTCTACTGCAAGATTGCTTCTGACTTGCTCAGCAGCAGGATGGAGGATGTTTGAGGGTTGAGGAACTATAATATTAACTTTGGTGACTTGGGGAATCTCCGTGTCTGAGAAAGCAGTTAAGTGAGGCAAGATTGAGCACTGAGTCACATGCCTGTGTGCTAAGTCGCTTCAGTCATGTTCAACTCTGTGCAACCCTAACGACTGTAACCCGCCAGACCCCTCTGTCCATAGGATTCTCCAGGCAAGAATACTGGGATGGGTTGTCATGCCCTCCTCCAGGGGATCTTCCCAACCCAGGGGTCAAATCTGCGTCTCTTCCATCTCCTGCATTGGCAAGTGGGTTCTTTACCACTGTGCCACCTGGGAACCCCATTGAGCATATCGTAGTGCTCAATAATTGTGTAATTATGAATCTGAGTTTCAGAGAATTACAGGATTAAAATCCTACATCTTTATAGTAACCTCTGGGGGTACAGGAAACGTGTTGTCTTTGTAACCCTGGTTCCTAGCATAGCTTGGAAAGTTGTAGGTCCTCCTATTTTCTGTGCTTCACAAAGGAAGTGCCATTTGATCTCTGGGTCTTATTCAGGGAGAGAAGGGAAAGTATTGGAAGTTCAGGTTGGGGAAGACGATAGGGGATGAATGTAGGAAATGGTAGATTGAAAGTGGGAACATGAAGGTCTTTGAATCCTTTCTCTGCTACTTAAGATTTTTAAATAATTACCTTTGTATCAATATTTATTCTTGCCATAAACATTGATTTCTCACAGCCCCTCTGCTGCTTGCCAGCCCTGAGCCAGTTCATAGACCCAGAACCTCATGAAGGAAGGGCTGGCCAGATGCCCTGAAAAAAGGACTCATGCTATACTGCCTAAATATTCTGTAGTAGTTTCAGCTTTGAGGGGGGGGGTTAATTATTTTTTTAGAGGTAACTGATGAATAACGTACGTTACATGTGTACAACCTTCTATCCCTACTTCTGTGTCCTCCAGAGTGTGCTCACCAGCAGACTGTAGTTTCCATCTATTACCATACAGTAATACAGTGGCCTTCCCTGGTAGCTCAGCTGGTAAAGAATCTGCCTGCAATGCGGGAGACCTGGGTTCCATCCCTGGGTCAGGAAGATCCCCTGGAGGAGAGCATGGCCACTCCAGTATTCTTACCTGGAGAATTCCATGGACAGAGGAGCCTGGTGGGCTACAGTCCATGGGGTCGCGAAGAGCTGGACATGACTAAGTGACTTAGGACAAGATAGAAAATACCCACACTTATGCAGACACTGGCTGAAGAGGACGCCTGAGGTCTTTCTCCACTGCCTAGGCTGCTCCTGTTCGGTCATGTTTTTCCGGTTAGAACAGGTGTGAGATGGGGAGGAGGAAAGGACAGAGTGATCCTGGCCGGCTGGCACGTGACCGTCAGGACTCCACTCTCCGGGAAGGCTGCTGCTGGCCGGGGGCTCTGCTCCTGGAGCTCCTGCTGCTGCCCCCTCAGGCTCTCTGGCTGAATCTCTGCTGTTGTCCTCGAGGGCGGTGAGGGTTCGCCGAGAGGGCTAGGCTCCAGCAACCGCAAAGTGTGCTGTCCCCCATCGGTCTGATGGCAAGAGGCCCCCCTTCAGGACCGAACTCTCAGGAAGACGCACTGGCCAAGTGGCTTTCGTGCACTCAAGCAGACCCCGCACCAGCGCCTGGCATGAGCACACCGTCTGCTTGCCTGAGGCTGCTGAGGCCAGAAGGGGGTCAGCCCCCAGAGGACGGGGCTGTGTGAGAACGTCTGTATGTGAGAGTGCGGAGGGCTGGGGTGGGCGGGAGAGAGGCGACAGTCCCACACAACCACAGCTCAGCAGGCCAAGGCGTGTTTTGTGGTCAAGTGTTCAATTTCCCTTTCCTTTACTGGCCAGGACTGAACCTTAGCGGTGATGTGGGCTCAACCAAGGTGACCTTCCACCACCACAGAGGGTGGGCGTGCGGTGTGGCTCCTCAACACTGCAGGGTTTCCTCAGCTGAGAGGGGAGTCATGTGTGAAAGTCCCCTTTCCTTTCCAACACAGGAGCAAGAAGAGAGGGGCCAAGAAGAGAGGCACCGTTTTCTCAGCATCTCATTCCCTGGGGCAACTTGACCTCCGCAAAGCCTACACGGCCTGCCCCCATCCTGAGGTGCGAATGCTGAGTAAAGTGTGACGTCCTGCAAGTGTAGGTAGGGGCATGGAATTGGTCCCCACCTTGTAGGAACTTCACATTTTAAAAACTTTGTATTCTGTTACTTCTGTAGAGTAGAATCAAGTGTACCATCAGATGTAGCGTACATTTCAAGTTTAATATACTAAATGTAGGATTCAGAGGAGCACCATGTTTTTCATTTATTTCACTATCTGAACCAGGTTAGAAGGACCATTCTAATGTTTTTAGATTCACAAACACTTTTACATGTTGTAAGCCAATGAGTATTTTTTTCTCACTTTACAATTAAGGGCTTGCCTAAGGTCATATAGCTGGAAGGGGCAGAGTTAGTGTTTTATCCCTATCTTTCAACTTTAAAATTTAGTGTTCTTAAAAGAAGTAGAAGTTTAGTGGTCATTCAGAATTAGGTTCCAATGGTGACTCCAGGACACACTAGCTGTTGGTATGTACATTTACAGTGTAATATGTTTGTGATGGGCAATATAGAAAAATAACTTACAAACAACTTTTGATAAAATTAAAATCCTTGCTCAGTAGATTTTCACCTGTATCCAGTCACTACTACTGTCTATGTTGATTTCTAGGACTTCT